CACATTTAAGTAAAGTATTTAATAATCGATACTAGTTCAAAAAAATTAGAAATTATATCAGCTTCTAATATTTATTTTCTAAGTTTAATGATTTTGTGGTTTTTGTTTGAAAGTGATAAAACACTAATAATTTTGTTGGTAACATATATTATCTCTACAAGCAATAAAATATTCACTTGGAGATAATTTAGTAAATCAAAATTTCAGTATTAGATATATATAATTTTGTTTAAGTGAATATTCCCGAAAACAGGTCAATACCATCAGAAAGCATCGATCACAGGAATCACAGATCTTACGATGGTAGAAAAAATTTGAAGTGGAATGGAAGTACAACTGGTTCGTTCAAGAATTCTTTTCTATCTCCATGCAATTGTAAAAATTCAGCCAAAAAATCATTCAATTTTAATTATTTTCATTTATATTGTTATTTATAATATTACCAAAAATTTATTGCATGATATGCAATAATATTACAATATAACAGATTGTGTACCGAATTATCTGGAATGTGATATGGAGAGAGATTCTGTCAGTAGAAAAGGTCAAGAAAAGTCAAATCGAACGGAAGATTATTCTAGCAGCGAAAAAAGCGATGTTGAGCAGCTTGATCAATTGATCAACACAAAAAGTGAACATAATAAACGTGATCAAAATGAAGTCACTGATGATGACAGTCAAGATTATAATGTTATGGTAAAAAATTTTGATTGCTCATTTATTTAATTTTATTTTTAGTTGTACAAAAAATAGTTTATTGATTTGAACTAACTGGTAAATAAAATTAAACAAAACGATGTATAGAAATGCAGAGGGAAACTTCAATAAAATTTTAAAAAATAATGAAGCATCTATTTTATCCAAGTTCTTGTCTTACATTTAGAAAATCTCATCCAGTCGAATTTTTGCGCACCTCAGTCGATTTCGTGAAAGACTTCGACAATTTGTGATATGCAATCATTTTAAACGTGGAATTTTATTTGCTATTTTGATTAATACTCTCAGTATGGGTGTCGAATATCATCAGCAGGTTCATTTTCAGTTAATTTAATGAACTGCGAATGAAAGCAATACATCATAATAACTATTTTCTGCTAAAATTTTTGTAGCATTTAAAAGTAAAATTATTTTTTAGCCAGAATTTTTAACAACAGTTCTGGAAATCAGTAACTATTTTTTTACTGGTTTGTTTGCCCTTGAAATGTTGCTCAAAATAGGCGCAGATGGATTATTTGGATATCTTTCGGATGGTTTTAATCTTTTTGATGGCGGAATTGTCGCTCTCAGGTGGAATTGATATTAAAAATTCATAACCATTTTTTAAGTCGAATTTTTAATTTCATATTTTTTAAAAGATATGATAAATTTTCAAGGTTTTAATCAATTTGTGTTGTTCTTTTTATGTCTATGAAAGTAATTATTAAGTGGAAATGCTAATTTTAGTGCAGGCTAATTTTTAGTGTATTAGAATTATTTCAAGAAGGAAAAGGTGGTTTGTCAGTACTTCGGACATTTCGTTTACTTCGAATTCTAAAACTTGTACGATTTATGCCCGCACTGCGATATCAGTTGGTTGTTATGCTTCGTACAATGGATAATGTAACGGTATTTTTTGGATTACTCGTTCTCTTCATCTTTATTTTCAGGTATGCATTTCATGTAATATAAAAATTATATAAAAATGTGGCGTAAATAAAAAATGAAAGTGAAATCAATTTTTATCTGTAATTCTTTTAAGACTGATAAGCAAATGCTTTATTCAAATGAAACTAATCTTAATTTTGATCGCTACTAATGTAATCTAATTCTGAAACTACTTAATATGAATTATCGGATTAAGTAAAAATTTTGTTTTCAAATCTTTATAAAATGATAAATTTTTTTTAGCATACTTGGAATGAATTTATTTGGTTGCAAATTCTGCAAAAATGCGATAGATCAGACGAAAAAATGTGAAAGAAAAAATTTTGATTCACTTTTATGGGCACTTGTTACTGTCTTTCAAGTAATTATCATCTAGCATTGATAATTCAAAATAAAAAAATTTTGCTCTGTTTTTAAGCAATTAATAAGTTAACATTTTAAATGAAGAAATTTTGTTAGCTAATAACAAAATATGTTGACTATGTTTGAATCAGTAAATTAAGTCTTTTATTTATTACAAAGAAAATCAGTTATGCATGTTTTTTAATGCTTTTAATTCGCTTTTATTTAATAATTAATTGCTGAGCTCTATTTTTTTTCCTTCAGATTCTGACACAAGAAGATTGGAATGTAGTTTTGTTTAACGGAATGGCTCGTACAACACCTTGGGCTGCTTTGTACTTTGTTGCTCTAATGACTTTTGGCAATTATGTTTTATTTAATCTACTTGTTGCTATTTTAGTAGAAGGTTTTCAAGAAAGTAAAGAAGAAGAAAAACGTCAATTAGTGAGAATTTTAATCCATTAATTATGATAATTTTTGGTAAATTAAAAATAAGGGTAAAGTCATATTATAAAAAAGTAGACATTTTAAGTATGTCACGAATTTTATTTTAAAATGCTGCTCTTTCTAAAAAGAATACATTTTACTACGAAAATTCTGTGCATGAAATTATTTAAATATCAAATTTATTAAATTTTTAATTGTATTCATTGTTCAATTTTATAAATTTGTTAGAAATTCTTGAATTTTAACGCAATTGCCGAGATTCATTTGAGGAAGAAGAAGCAATAAAAAAGGCAACTGTTGAAGAGGAAGAAAGAAAACGAGAATTAGAAGTATTATTAGCTAAGGCTTCTTCCTGCAGTTACCTTAATAAAATAGTAAATCATTTTTTATTAATATTTATTTATTTATTCAAAATTCAACAAATGATAAAACATCGATATGCTGCATAATTTCTTAATTTTTCAAATTTTATTTGAAGTCAATTTTCAAAACCTTGAATTTGTATGTAATTGTGATCTAGGAAATTTCCGAACACCTCAAGATAAATATGAAATAGATTGAAGTCTTCTCTCAAATCCAGATGTGCTTTATCTCTGTGTTATTTTTTTACTGTAGCCAATATGCTATTGGGATTTTGCAGTTGATGTATTTAAAATTAAATTTAATAATATAATTAACATATTAGAATATTTGATCGCATATCTAATTGTTTGTATCGTTTTGTTTTCAAATTTCTTGTTCAGGAAAACAGCAAAAAATCTTTTGAATTAGCACAACGATTGTTGCTTACTAGGCGAAGCAGCAGCTTTCAGCATTGTTCATCAACGGATATTAATCAAATGTAAGTTTTTTTTTCATGCATTGAGCTCGGATAAATCTAATGTTAATATAAGTCTGAAAATTTATTTTTTCAAATGACATTTACTTAACAGTTGATTTTTCCTGCTGAAAGAGTAAATTTTAGAGCACGTTCTAATGTCGTAGTAGAGAATAACACTAGATTAAGGAATTCGTTACGGTTACGAACATATCGTCAGTATGACAATAATTTAATTCTACGAAGCGAAAACACTTCACCAAGGATTCAAAGGTATTACTCAATGTTAGATATTTTATTTTAAAATTTTATCAGTTGTAAAATCTACAGTTTTACTTTTTATTCGTCATGGTCTTGAGAAATAATTATGCATAGAAGAATTACTTATTTTCTTAGGCTGAGCCGACGTCATACTTTACTTATATTACCTCAAATGGTACAAAATCTGGATTCTCATTCTTCAAGTTGTAATGCTCGACAACGTATGCATAGTTGGTGTGGTATGCATTCAACATTTAATTTACTCTGTCCTATTTACAGTCATCAAGCAGTTTTGGAAGCATACGCAAGAGATAAATTAATAAAAGTTAGCTTTATTATTTTTAATTAGTGATAAAATTTGATTGCTTTTTTAGACCATACAAAACATTAGCTGCATAAAATGAAAATATTTTAAAATTTATCAAATATTAGCAACAACTATAATACATTGTCTGAAAAAAAATAATTCAATATATAATTGAATTAAATTGTCTAGAAACAAAAATTTAGTAATTTAATTTTTATGAAATTTGTGTGTTCTAAAAAATTGTAACAAACTCACTTTCTGAAAAAGAGCTCAAGAATTAATCTATCTTACATGCGTTAAATGAATGACAGCTTCAGTCAGATTTATAAATAATTAATTAATTAAAAAAAAAATTAGCAGGCTAGTCAGGAATTGCAAATGGTATTTGAAGAAAAAGAAAGGCGCAAAAAAGCACGAGAAAATTCACTGTGGATGCGATTAATTAAAAAAACTTGTTTTCACAGACGTGCTGATCATTCACTTTACATTTTTGATCCAAAAAATCAGATTCGTATTAAGTAAGTTCGTTAATTATAACAGAACAAACTAAATGTTTGAAAAATTTTCAACATATTTTGCTTATTAAAGAAAGTTGCATTAATAAAATGTATTTTGTGTCATCTTCGATCATAATGTGATTATATTTCTAGTACTACCAAATGATATAAAATTGTAAAACTTCTTTCAATTTATTTTACTATTTTATTTTTTAGATGCCTTCAGTTGACACAAAAAAAATGGTTTGATTATACGGTGTTAATATTTATTGCCATAAATTGTATAACATTAGCAATGGAACGGCCATCAATTCCTCCAAAATCATTAGAACGTCAATTTCTTTCCTTTTCTGGATATGTTTTTACCGTAATTTTTACTATTGAAATGTCCATGAAAGTAAGTATAGTTTTTGACTCACGTGCATCTAATTATTTAAATATAATTATTTAGTTGGATAGTATTGTTAGAGTTATCCTGAGTACATACTATTAAATGTATATATTTAATCCACCATTTATAAATACGGTTTCAAACCAGCAAAATTGCAAGGTAATACTATTTTCAGGTTATTGCAAATGGTTGCCTGTTTGGTAAAAATGCGTATTTTAAAGATGGATGGAATATTTTAGATGGCGCATTAGTGATTATTAGCCTTATGAATGTCGTTTTCGAATTACTTGTTCATACGAGTAATTTTCATTGTTGTTCAGTCTTGAAGCTCATTTATGCACGAAACACTTTGAATCCAAATAGTTAATCAGTTACAACACTAACAGTATAAAGCTGATGTAAATGGTTATTTTTTATTTGCTCAAAAATTTAACCCTGCTACAGATTCACCAAAAATCTTCGGTGTGTTACGTGTGTTACGGTTGCTGAGAGCATTACGTCCTTTACGAGTTATTAACCGAGCACGTGGCGTAAAACTTGTGGTTATGACTTTGATAAGCAGTTTGAAACCTATTGGAAATATTGTTTTAATTTGTTGCACTTTTTTCATAATTTTTGGTATTTTGGGTGTTCAATTATTTAAGGTAAGTGCATTTGATCAAATAATTTTTAGCTTTCAATAATATTTTCCATATCATAGTCTTACTAAAATGCAGTCAAGACTCAAAATAGTTGTTAATTACTGTGAGAAATTTAATTCTTCTTTCTAGCAGAGTGATTTTACCTTGCTTTAAGAAAATGAAGACATATCTTTAATCTGCAGGGTACGATGTATCATTGCACTGGTCCGAGTATAGCAAATGTAACAACAAGAGCAGAATGCTTAATGGACCCACGAAATCGTTGGGTTAATCATCGTTACAACTTTGATAACCTTGGCCAGGTAAGTATTTACTTCCAAAAACTGTGCACTATTAAATTAAATTGCATTTAAATACACTAATTAGACTTTTAATTTTATTGTACTTGCTATACAATTACTTTTTTCAGGCACTAATGTCATTGTTTGTTTTGGCTAGCAAAGATGGTTGGGTTGGTATCATGTATCAAGGTATTGATGCAACAGGTGTAGATTTGCAGGTTGTGGTTTTTTTAGATAACTTTTTGTTGAAAATTGTTGTTGAAATTCTATTCTTACACAAATATTATGCTAACATTAATTGATACCCTTTGACAGTACAATTTTAGCCAATTGAAAATTACAATGAATGGAGAATGATTTACTTCATTTCGTTTCTCTTACTTGTTGGATTTTTTGTCCTTAATATGTTTGTTGGCGTAGTTGTCGAAAATTTTCATAAATGCAAAGAAGCATTAGAAGCTGAAATGAAAGAACAAGCTCGACAAAAACGCCTAGAACGCCGATTAAAGCAACAAAAATATGAAAATCAACATGAACACAAAAGAAAAAAACGTTTATTTTTATAATTTTTATTTACTTTAATTATGCTTAGTCATTAAGCTTTCAATTCTAATTTAACTTATCACAAAACTTTGCTTAATAATGACAGTTCAAAGTAAAAATTAAAAATTTTTGATATTATCCATGTTAATTGATAAGAATAAGTGATAATAGTGACAGCAATGATAGTATTATCAGAAATAAATAATAAGAAATGTGATATTAAAAAAAACGATAATTGATATCTGTTCAATTTTTTAGGACCAAAAATACAACCATACTGGCATGGTTATGGACCAAAAAGATTTTTTTTGAATAATGTAGTAACATCGAAATATTTTGATCTTGCTATTGCTGCAGTTATAGGTATGCATAAATTTAATAAAAACTAAAACGTTCCTATATTCATTGTTATTTTTTATTCCAAACAGATTAACTATTTGAAATAGTGATGTAATTATTTTTTGCTTAATTGAGATTACAGATATTTTCAAATTCTAAGGAATTTGCATAATTCATTTTGATTTTGCCATCATTCACATTAGGAATAAATGTGATATCAATGGCTATGGAGTTCTATATGATGCCAAGTGGATTAAAATATGTTCTAAAAGCGTTGAATTATTTTTTTACTGCTGTTTTCACGTTGGAATCAGCAATTAAACTTGTGGCATTAGGATTTCGTCAGTTTTTTAGTGAAAGGTAAGAACATTTATTCAGTAAAAAAAGATAGAATATTATAAAGCTTTGCTCAGATTTTAAATTACAGATTCTTTGTTCTTTATGAAAATGAATAAAATTTTTGCAAATTTTTTGTAATAAACTGATAAGAATGCATTGATCTGAATAATGCTCTAAAATGATTAGATATGTTGAGATTTTTGAAAATTTTGTACTAATTTACAATTGTACGCTTTTCAATACGAATTTGAATATTATTTAAATGGCAGATGGAATCAGCTGGATATTTCTATTGTGATTTTATCCATCTCTGGTATTATATTTGAAGAATTTGAAGCATTAGAATTACCCATTAATCCAACAATTATTAGAGTTATGAGAGTTCTTCGAATTGCTCGTGGTAAATATACTTCATCGTTACAATCAATCTTTATCAATGTTTTTTAAAGTATTTTGATCATTTTCACTCTTTAATGATATTTACTGATTATAATAATTGATATCCTCTAGCTTTGCTTGTAGTTCATCCCATTATAATAATCTCATTTTATTAAATACTGTTCATGATGATAATGTTCATATAAGTATTTTTAATTTTATCATAATCGAAATTAAAATTAGATGTTCACTCAGTTTCGTTACTTTTTAAAATGTATTTTCAATTTCGCACATATTTTATTTACTATATTTTTTTCTTTATTTTTAGTACTGAAACTACTGAAAATGGCAAATGGTATACGATCACTTTTGGATACAGTTGGTGAAGCACTACCACAAGTTGGAAATCTTGGATCTCTTTTCTTTTTACTTTTTTTTATTTTTGCTGCGCTTGGTGTTGAATTATTTGGTAAACTTGGTAAGTTTAAAACAATGTCATTGAATATTTTTGTTCTAACTTTTTTTTTTTAAATCAAACAATTGCTACTGTTGTAACTTCTACATTTTTAAGAACTGTAGATTAAGAAAGAACAAAATGTTAACATTGTATTTTGTGATATTTTTTTGGCTGCATATCATATTTTTTCTTAAATACTATTAATATCAATTTTTCAAATTTTTAGAATGTTCTGATGAGCATCCATGTGATGGACTTGGTGAACATGCTCATTTCAAGAATTTTGGAATGGCATTTCTCACACTTTTTCGTATAGCTACAGGCGATAACTGGAATGGAATTATGAAAGTACATAATACGATTTTCGACTATAATTCATTTCTAAAAACTTTTTGATCACAAAAAATACCAAATGATTACTTTACAACTTTGAACCACTTCGGTACATTTTTGCAAAAGTTTATTCATTTCTAGGATGCCTTACGTGATGACTGTGATCCTTCTGATAGATGTGAATCGAACTGCTGTGTTGATCCCATACTGGCACCATGTTTTTTCATCATATTTGTATTAATTTCACAGTTTGTGTTAGTGAATGTTGTCGTTGCAGTTTTGATGAAACACTTAGAAGAAAGTAATAAAAACGAAGATAACTTGGAGGGTTTGATTTACCAATATTTAGTTTTGATAATAAATGTAATTATTTCTGTAGAAAAATCAATTTTAATATTTTGAATGAAAACCTTGCTTTTGAAGTTTAATTTGCATAACTTTGTGTTTTTTATAAGAATGAGTAAATTTTGAAGCATACATTTCAGGTAATGCAATCAGTGATACAAATAATGAAGTAAACAAAAGTGATACAGATGGTGAAGAAGATGCAGGTTCATCACAAAAAAATCCAGTTCGAAAATTGATTCCTCCAACAAGTTAATCTAATTTCATGATAAGAATTATTGCACACAATAATCTAAAACTGCATATAAATAGTTTGAATTCCTAGATTTTTTTTCATAAACTAAAAATGTTGAACGGAAAATGGAAATTTTATATCTTTATGGAAAAATAAAATGAGTCAAAATTATAAAATAATTTTACTATTATATTTTTTACTACTGATCATGAGTTTTCAGAATAGTGCTGGATATGAGATTCAAAAAAAAAGAAAAAAAAAACTCAAAATTCTGCATAACATATACCTGAACATTTTTTATTTGAAAACAGCGATGATGGCAATTCTTTAATGCTCATTTGATCCTTAATATGTTTGATTTTTGTAAATATTGTTTTATTTATACAGAAAAATGAAATCATTTCTAGAAGAAATAACTGCAGTTTTTGAAAGAAATTAGTATTCAACATTAAAGAAGTGCAAAATTGTAATAACATTTATTTCCCTTTGAATATTTTAATTTTTCATTTTAATTTAAAATATATTCCAATTTATTGATTAATATGTTAAAATTTTGCATATTTTGTGGTCATAATTTTATTTTTTCACTAACTACGGGTTTTATTTAGAATAAATATTCGATAACAGCTAAATCATTGTTTCATATTTTTAATTATTTGCTAAAACATTCAGTTTAAAAATTTAGAGTAAATTAGCAAAACTCTGTAAATTATTTAACAAGCCATATACATTTGCCTTATCGTAATAAATTGGTAATAATAGTTTGTAATTTTGACTGAACTTTATAAAAATAGCCTGTGAACATTATAGTATATATGAAACATAAATTGCCAAAAAATTCTTAAAAAATACTTGCATATATTTAATTTTGCCAATTGATATATTTGCATTAGTTATAATCATCTTTAGTGCTAAATCTGATATATTTGTTAATATTGACATAAATTTCAAACTATGACCAATTTTTTTTTTCAATATTATTCTATAACTTTTACGTGGTTATCTTTTTGTTATTTAAATAAATATTTTGAATCAAGTAATATATATATATATAAATTCACTTCGCATAATTTGAATATGAATATTTAATGAGTGAGACTTCACACTAATTTAATATTAAATTTAAAACTTAAAAATGACTAAGAGTAGCTTAATGCGTGCGAAATGATCTCATTTCATGTACCAATTATGTGCCAATTTGAAGTTTCCAAAAAGCTTTGAAATATTTGCAAAAATTTGTTCAATTTGTATTACTACTATTTGTTACTTTTTATTTTCTCCACAATCATTCTTGTATGTTTGTTTAATCCACTTAAATGCTGCTCTTTGAATATTCCTAAGTTATTCGTAAAGAATATTGAAATAAATAGATAATTTTGCATTCTGAAGAAATTTTTTCCACTTTCTGTAAAAATATTATCTGAAGTATTTTTCTTTTCTGCACTTGCCGTCATTTACAGAATTTACTTTCAACGACTTTGCATACATTTTAAAAAGTGTATGTGAATAATTTAACTTTGTTGTAAATATTACAAATTTGTTCATTTTCATTGTTACAAGCTGAAATAGTTTAATTGTGTGCTAATTATTCACTTCTGTTTTGATGTAAAGATGAATATTATCGCTTCTGAAGTGCATATCAACAATGTTGTGTACAAGTTAATTTCCATATTTGCTCTATGCTCAATAAATCTATCATATTTGGTTCAATCGCAATTATTGCAGCGTAATATTTGCAGTGTAGACGACATTATGAAGTGAGATATGCGCACGCTTATAATAATGATTTACTTTTTGCTCACACGAAACGAATTAGCTCATTTATGATCTAAGTTATGTTCTTATCTTAATTTTCAGCTCATTTCTTTATTGCAATATTTTGGTGTTGTCTGAAATAATATTGAACTGTAATGCGTTGAATTTTTGTATGTCTGATGTAATAGAAGATTAAGAGATAATTAGTTTTGTTTGCAATGTCAAGCTAGAATTGCGTAGTTAAAAAAAAATATTTGCAGTAGACAAAAGTGTTTGCAAAGAAATTTCAGAATATACAATATTATTTGCAGATCAATTCTTCAAGCAGCTGATTTCATGGAGTAATGATACTGTTCTTTCATAATTTTATAAATCAAATCAAGACTTTCATTCATTCGGCTTTGAGCTTTTGCATAAGTTTGGTTTTATTATTTACTTAAACACGGAATAATGTCAGTGGTCTATCAAATTCTTCATGCTGTACCGTACAGTAACAGACCTATCGTTAAGGTTTGATTAGTACTTACTTCAATACTTTAATTTTTAATTTTTGAACTTCTGAATCTCTTCGAATTTTTCTCATCACTGTTTTATAATATTTATTGAAGTAGAGGTGTAATTGCAGGATGTGATTGCAAGTTTGCATAGCTATTTTACTTGTAATTTGCTCATTGCTTTTTCGGTGATTATCAGTTTCAAACAGTTCGGTGGTCGTCCTTTGGAATGTATGTTACCGGTGGGCTTCACTGGAGCATGGGAACAGGTATTAATTGATTCTTTTAAAATTATGCGCTTTCATTTTTTAATGAAACATTATTATTGTTTTATTTAAAATGCTTCAAATGTATATGTTAAGCTGATGGAAAGCATTTCAAAAGACATAATGTTGATATGTAAGATTGAGTTCAAAAAAATTTCAAATTACTATTAATAATATATAACAAAGAAATTCTGTGACATCGCAAGAATTGGTTATAGTACGCCGAAAACTTTTGTTGGGCTCAAGATACGTATTTTGTTTCCCCAACAGTATTTGTGGAAAATGTAACTGCAGAAGAACGCCGCGAACGTCGAATCAGTTATTATCAATGGATGCCATTCTTTTTATTATTTCAGGCAGCATGCTTTAAGGCTCCTACACTCATATGGAAATATTTTGCTGGACAATCTGGTACCTTTTAGTATTAATGCTTGTGATTCTCAACTATTATGATAGAATCATGAGAAGTTCAAACACAACATCAAGTTTCACTTCGAAACTGAATGTTGTGTCTAAATTTTGTAACTTTAGTAGCTGATGTGATTTATCTCTTGTTTGGTCTGGGTTCTTGTCAATTTTATATTTAAAAAAAAGAAAAATAAGATAACTGGTTAGACAAAGGGATTTTTTGATTATAGGAATGAAAGTTGGTCAAATTCTTCGATTAGCGAGTGACCCAGCAAATTCATCTTTGGATGTCAAGAAAGCAAACATTGAAACGTTATGCATACATCTGCAAGGTGCTTTAAGATTCCAGGAACGAGTCAAGAAAGTATATTAACATATTTTTATCAGCATTCATTTGCTTTGTTGTGCTTTTTTAACCGTCAAGATTTCAGAAAAAACTGGTACCTCATAAAATATGTCGATTTCTAAACTTGAAATATGCCAATTACTATGTTGCGATGGTATATATATTTGCGAAGTTGTCATTCCTGGCAAACGTTATCTTCCAAATCGCACTTATGACACGGTAATATGCTAAGATATAGTTAAGTTTTAATTATTAAAATTGGAGCAGGTTGAAATAAACAAATTTTAGGAAACTAAAATCAAGCTCAGTGAATATAAAGATTTTTCGCTTAGGGTTTTTAATCCTTTGCTCCTTGCTAAAAACGAAATTTGAACTTTTCAGTTACTTACTACCAGAACTTAAAAGTGATTACGGTCTTGAATCGTGGAAAAATCTTATCTGGCCTAAGAATGATTCTTCCACATGGAAACATAGCGGACTTTTCCCACTAGTTACGCTTTGTGATTTCGAGGTGTAGTATATCATGATCATTTGATAGATATTTTTATGTGTGTCACCTTGGTATTCTCATTGCCACCATGTTTTCATACTTTTCAGGTGCGAGAAATGGGGAATATACAAACTTATACTGTGCAATGTGTACTGGTTGTTAACTTGTTCACTGAAAAAATTTTCATTCTTTTATGGGCTTGGTAATTATTCTTGTACTATTTCCATCCTGTGGTTTAATTTTTGAGCTAAGCATATTTTATATACTTTAAATCAATAAGAAATTATTTGAATATGTGTGCGGTGTAAATTTACCTTTAGGTTTATGGTTTTGACGGCTCTAACATCTGTGAGTGTTATCAATTGGCTTTATTTATTGACAGAAAGTTGTTCAAATGAGCACTTCATTCTTAACCATCTTGAAATGAGCGAAACATCGTTTGATAAAAGCGATCCACGTTAGTAATTTTTTCCAGGAGATGTAAAAAGCTAAAATCTTTATAAGCTCTAAAATAAAGTGTTTTATTATATATTAACATTTCATGTATGCACAAACATTTATGGTAAAGTAACATTTTTTCTAGGTAGTAAGGAGCAAGTTGATCGTTTTTTAAATAGGTATTTGGGAACTGATGGTATTTTCCTATTAAGAATGATTGCTAATCATGCAGATGTTGTTTTTGCTACAGAATTAATTGCATCGCTTTGGCGGTCTCATTATGTTTTCGAAGAACAAAGAAAGTGAGTAATTTTAAAATATACCAATTTAACATCTTGGTATTTATGGATTCTGAAGGAATAGGGATGTTTTTTGTTTGATAAACATAAATAAATTAAAAAATATTTTTCGTATTCATTTGGTTGATTTTGTAGCTTAGGTTACTACTACAGTGTGTAATTTTCAGAAATATGTCTCAAATGGACAAAATATGGCCTCAACACCAACAAAGACTAGAAATAGCTTTGCTTGAAGAAGCTGAGCATGCCCGGAAAATCAGTTCCGACGCACTTAATGCATTGCAGCGAAAAAGAAGTGTTTTTCGTGATTCACCATACTTTGCGAAACGAGAGTCATTGACTGGAATAATGATGTCTAAAGTGTCGTCACGTTAGTTTCTTGCCATATCATTTCGCGAAGTTCTGAAATTGTTCTGTTTTTTCTTCTCTATCAAGTAGTTTTCACAAACTTGGTGTAATAATTTAGCTACAAATATTTAATATGGAGTATAAACTTTGTTATTTGTGTAGCTACCGTAAATAAATTTTATAGATAGCGGGTTTGTGTAGTGTAGCACTGATTCCAGGCAGTATATTGAGTAGCTCGCACCAATCTTCTCGAAATAGTTTGAAAGATAACATCATGCCACTGTCTTCACGTATCGCAAACCAACCTCGAGGAAGCGTATTCTCATCAAGTAGTGACAATAAGCTTCGTCGACGACACAGTGTGGAAGAGGTTGATATTATCACTGGTAGTAAAATTAAAAAATTCGCTGAGAGTAGTGATGAAGAGGAAAAGGAGAAAGAGAAGAGCTTAGTACGAAAAAGCAGTGTAAAGTTCTGGTGAAGCAGTGAAGATGTAAAATCTCAAAGTATAGATTTTCCAACCTTTCCTTTTCCACATACTTGAAGCCGTAAAGCTTTATACTACTAATATACCTCAATGATCCTTCTCACTTCTCGGCTTATGAATCCATTATAGTGCGCATTATATCTCCATTTTTTATTTCTTAGTTATTTGTGTCTTAATTTCCGGTCTTCATCAAATTGATCAAATAATTACTGGTTTCACCTTATCATACATTGCATCTACAAATTTTAGAAACTATGTTAATTACGTACGCCACGATGCTTTCATTTGGCACTACGTAGTGCTTATTTTAACCATCTGATCTCAGATTTTCATGTTTCTCATGAATAAAACTCACCACTATTAGCTCCATGTTTTTTTCTCCATTCTATTCCATGTATCTTCATCTTTCACGTTTTCCAAATGTTTCTAGATGAAATCCAAACGATGTACATTACTTTCCAAAATGCTTGATTGTCTTTAGAACTTGAACAACAGAAATCAAATTTCATTTTATTAAAACTTTCCGTCAGTCTTTCAAATACTATCACTGATTGTAATATTTTGTTCTTTCAATACATAAACAATCCAGTCCATCCAACAGTTTGTTTAAGCTCTCTAATGTGTTAGATGCTGAACAAAATACTTTTCTGAATAATGATATTACACACGTGGGAGAGCATTTACAACAGATGTGAAAATTCTAATCAAAAGCCAAAGTGGAAATTTCGAACGACCGATAATTTTTGAGAATGTAATGAGTTTTATAATAATGGTTTTACACGACTGATTTTCTGGAGAATTTTACTTTATATGAGAAACAAAACTAAACAAATTTGTGCCAACAGTCGATGATGCATACAATGCGCTAATTAGATGTGGTTTTTTCTTTAGCATGTCTGTGAATGCTTCTTTCAATACAATATCATCGAGGTACTTTTCAAGTATATAAGAAAGAACACGCAAGAGATATGGAACAGAATGTATTGGTAACGACAGCAATCCTTGCATATAGTTAGGTATTACTTCGCGAATGAACGCCGGTGGGAAATCGTGCACCAAAAGCTGAAGGACCAAGTAATTTTCAGACGTAGCATAGGAAGGTCTTGAATTAAAAATATTTTTTCGAGTGAAGAAATGACAACAGCAAGAAATAACTTGCAGAGCTTAAGGAAAAGTAAAGCAAGATCAAGGTAGTACTAAGGATTTGGACTCACCACATTTTGTAATAGAAGCTTTGAAAGCCGTACAAATGGTGACCGATTAAAGTTACATTCTGAAGGGGGTTTGTATATTTGTTTTGCTAAGTATAAGTATAAATATGATGCTATTCGACAGCAGTGCATAGTCGTTGTTCTTTCTGCTTTTAGTAAAATGCTTTGCAAAGGTGAGACTAACAATTCTGACCAACCAGCAATAACTTCATTTACCCATCTTTTTGACGAATTCCTTGAAACAGTCTGCAAAAAAGTGTTCACACTTCAACAATGAGACTTGACATATTAAGAAATAAAGCTACAAGTACCTCGAGCATCCATCGGACTGCGTTAGTTGTAGAAGAGACATCTGCATTATAGTCAAAGTTCAAGTCATTTTTCCGAAATGAAGTAATAAGATTTTTGCAAACACATGCCGACAGATCATCTATATCTAGAATATAAATTAAAAAGGTGTCAACTATGACGAATCATTCGTATTTTGATTTCAAGTAAATAAAAATATTTGAAAAAGATGAATTGACAATCGCCATGAAAACTAACAGAACAGAAAATAAAACAAACCATCTGCTACCAAATTTTCCAGACTAACCGCTAACCAAACGGGAACAATCAATTCAACAGAATAAGTAGTATCCTTGAATTTCTCTAGAAATCCTCGCAAAAAATGGGAACAAACGTCTGAGCGATAATTTTTCTCATCCAATAAATTTTGCACGACAAGTCGGATGTTCTGAGCGGCTAGAATCTGACTGCGTTCAAATCTTATAGCCAGCTGTAACAAACTTATGATGAAAGGTAAGTATATTATGAACAACATAACATCGTTTTACTCATTCACTATTCAGAGCATAATATAATCATAAATCAACAATACAGTCGTGCAGTTTATATCATGATTATTGTAAACAATTACTTTTATAAGTAGTCGTCCATAATAATCATGATTACAAACTGCATGCATTTAATAATTTCAGTGATACAGCAAATCCCTATTCCTGGAAATCAGAATATAGCTTTTGTGGAAGGACTATAACTTCGTAGCCTAATCTTTTTGAGAGACAAAAGTTACAAGAAATCACATTAAAATGTTTGAAGAACATTGATCATTACATCTTGAAATAGAAATATGACTGAATACTATAAATACGAAAAAAGTTGAAGTAAAACTGACCTGCTCAACAATGTAATTTATCACCACGATAAAATTTGGACTTTTAAGACGTTTGATAGCTGTATTCCACAAAATATTATTTTCAGTTCTGCAGCGGGCCGTTATAAGAAGAAAGTTTTCCACATCCAAATCACTTATAAAAGGCAAGAAGCGAACTAATGAATTGATCTGAACTTTTTTTAGAGAAAAAATATGGAAATACGAATAAGTAAAAGAACATTTGAAGTTAGAAAACTGCGGCGAATACCTCGACTATTTTATCACCAATGCACAAGCAACATTCGACATACAACGAGATATCTTTCTTGGTATCAAGCTTCTCCATAACTGCAAGACACAATTAAAGATTTACAAGATTTCGAAAAAGAGATTGAAAAACCCGACTTCCATGCACAAAATAACTGTTATCAAAAAATCGAATAGTTTTAGAATAAAAACTTAAAACGATGGCAAATCATAAAAAAGATGTTTTCAACTGCACAGTTGCAGCATGATGACATTAAAAGCTAAAAAATTGAATGAAGTGAGAAAATTAGATAAGTCAGAGCCTTAACTATTAGAATTCAAATTGTGATGTGTGTAAATTAGGAACAAATGGTATACTTTTTTGAAAACCGACAATACAATTCCTTACATGTAATAAGTGTTGAAATCACTTGCGAAGTATCACAAAGACTTTCATCCAGAATATATTTAATACATTGAACTGCTCGAATAAACACATCATGACGTTCTTTATCACAAGGATCAAAAGCAGTTGTCGCCAACAAAATTATCTTACTGGACGTTTCCTTCATGTCTGGAAAAAATTTGAATTGAAAAACTTAAATTTTTCATTCAAATACTTCAAAAATTAAAATTTAAACATTTCAAGTACTGACTTCAGTATTAATTCAAGATCAAAAAATCAATCTCAGACGTGTACTTTTTATCACAATAAAATTTACCTGCACCATGTAATGATGCAATGAAGAGACTGAATATACAAATAAGGGAATTGATTGGCATTTCGCGGAACCTTTTGGTTGGAAATTTAGAAAAAACTCTTGATTTCATTGCACGCCACACTGAGTTGGATTCTGTAATAACTGCAAAATTATATCAAACTTGTCTAACTAAATGCAATAAAATCATGAAGTCAAACATGTATAAAACAAAGCAAGAATAAGCCTAACTTTTGATAAACAATAATGTCAATCGGATAAACAGCATCCATTCATTATCTTGATACTCACTTTCCGCAAAGGAAGACGAAAATAAGAAATCTTTCCACATTTTTCCACTGGTTGGATAAAAGTCCAAGTCCTAAACTGAAAGCATTTTACATGATTTGTACAACTGGATTTACAAAAGCTGTTTCTATAACTCACGCTAAGTTGATAAATGAGAATCAAGAGAGATTTGAGAATAATTGAACCTACTTGATTACACTCCATTATCTTCGCACACAAGTCCGTGAAAAAATACTGCAAAATACACTCTGTTCCCAAAAAAATGTCACTGTCCTCATTTTCGAACAAGTAATAAAGTTTCCTGAGAATAATTAGTATTTCAACTACAAACTATAGAAGCTGACGGAAAGCGACTTTAAAAATTGCATAAATTTACAATACATATGATCAGATTTTTATTTGGAATAATTTAAACCAAAGAATATTTCTGAATACAAATTTTACCTTAGCATATATTTTTTATTAGGCACTTTTGCACTGATTCGCAGCAAATATTCTGCATAATGGGTTGATGCTTTGCCTGAAAACTTGCTATCACACTCATATGTGGAAAAATTTCATTATATATGGTAATGCAATTCTCACTGAAGCTGGTGTTAAGTTTACAAATGACTTCTAGAAACGTTTCTGCAGATACTGAGTTACCAATGTCACACAGATCCAGGAACATATCTGAAATTATTATTAATCCGGTAAAATCTGAAAATGTAATTTGCAATCATGTGTACTGTGAAATGGAAAAAGAGATTATTCGACATATTAACAGCATTAAGAGTTTATAAATTGAAATCCTGAAGAATTTATATATATCAAAGTTAATACCGCTCGAAACATTGCTGGGTGAATAGTAATTCAGGTCGCCTGTACACAGACCAAGAAGCTTGACCATACTTGACCAAAACATCTCAGAATTCAGTGAATTAATCTGATGCCATGCTGCAGTGAGGCAGTCGCAAACACAAGGTCGACCCTGAACTACTATAGTTGATTTTTATAAATCTGGAACTCATTCATAAAGATATACATTAACAAAAACCAACAACGCAGTCCGCTAATCTCAATCAACACTGAGAAAGTTGACATTTATATTCGAATAATCCTTACTGTACGGGATGCGCACGTAAGTAATCCGTACTTCACCAACATAGATATCTGCTCCGTAGATGAGGACTCATCGCCCATAGGATAAAATTTCTCGAAACCATCAAACCCTACGTAATAAAGGCAATTATAAATTACATAATTTCGTTTAATTCAATTACACTGGAGCAAAAGAAAGCACTATTTCATCATATACTTGAACAAAAATATAATGATCTAAAATACTAAAACCACAAATGAAGTGTAATCTCAATAACATTATTGTATATATGCAATCAAGTATTCACAACAAATGAAAAATTGCAGACTTTTAAAGCAACTAGAAAGGCGAAGCGCTTTCATCCAAATGATCAGCAAAGCATGAAAAGTGTAATTCTGGAAATAGCAATTAATATTTACTCACATAAATTTGACAAACTTTTGTCAGAATTGCACTCATCTTTTCAGAATTAACTAATACTGGTGTAGGGTTAAAAGCTTCTTTTTTTTAAAAAAAAAGAATTTCAGAGCAGAAATACAAACACTAAATCAATAAATTCCTTTATTTTACCGTCTCCACATTACGCTTTGTGAACAGATCATCATGGGTGATATATTGACTTAGTGTGCCGACTTGTATAAGGAAGAATTTGAATTCTCGAGCGATTCGATTCAGAGTTTCAATACCACCTTTCAATTCGGTGTTCTAAACTTTGATTTCTCCAAGTTGATATGAAATTTAAAGTAGTTTTTGCGGGCAAAAAATATTTTGGTGAACTACAGACACTAACCTGAGCAAAGGCAGTCAAATAATGTAATGATCGATCTAAATCAATGATAGCTACATCGCTAGTGCCAGAAACAATCTGCTGATATAAAAATCGAATACGTCGAAAAACAGTTCTGATACCATTATCCGTATATAGCTAGAATTTGAAAAATACTCGTGAATTCCTAAGGAACAAGACAGTTAACTGTTGAAAGAAAAAATTTAGCACACTTTTCTAATAAAGAATCATTAAAATCACAGTAACATGAATAAATACTATCATAAACGTGACAAAAGTAACCAAATATTCGTTGAAACTGAAATTAGACAGTCTTAAGACTGATGGTAATGAGTACTGTACAGATGGTAAGGAATAATCATCTGTGACACGTTCTGGACACCTATTATAACACATCCAATCAACATGTAACCAATCTGGCAGTTCATTCTTCAAATCAAAAATATCACTTTGAGTTTCTTTCATTGACGAAACTTCTAATTCATAATACCTTTATTCTAAAACTGCAAAATTTGCATACATAAATTGATATTTTTTGTAGTTACATCTTTTCTGCTTACAACGCGATATTACAGTATTATCAACCTAAATTATTATTATAAACTATAAATACTTACGTTGCAAAGCGAATAAATTTTTAGTACACTTGCCAAACCACTTTATCATAAACTGCAGACCTTAAGGATAAGGATAACATGAAAAGTGCTAGTTTTTGGGACTTAAACGCATATTTCCTTCCATAAGTAAGAAGCACTTTCAAAAGATTAAGTTTGAATAAAAAAATTGAAACCTTTCAAACACAATTTAATAGTCGATAAAAAAAACGAAATGCATTATACACTTATCAGCATTACATTAATAAGCCTGAAATAATCACTGCTAAATCAAACAAAAATTATCAATACTCTATGGTTGGTTGCAAAAAGTAAATCATTTAACACCTTTGAAATTGCCGCATGCTTACTACATACCAGATATCAATTATTAATAGCAGCTGTATAGACTTGAAAGTAGCCTGACACATTTTTCTGTCTAATTGATAATCACAGAGTAGAATAAGGAGTTTTGTTTGGTTTCGTCGAGTTTTAGTCGAAGGAAATGTTTGAAAGTTTTGATGAGTGTATGAAAACTGTAAAATGAATAAACAGTAGCAAAGTTACCATATCAATACTCACAAAGATTGGGTGTTTTGCATGGAAAAAGTTGGCACTAATCGTTTGCGGGTATTTTCAAATTGATTTTTCAAGTGATCAGCGTGATAAATTCTTAGGCTATTGCTATTTATGGATATTTTAAAAGCTGACTTAAATATTGATTATCGATTGTTTTGCTTTACCTTGCAATATTAGCACATTCTTTTATTTATAGCATTAACTTTAGTAGATTTTTTTAAAGTTTTTATTTCTTGCATTGTGATCACAATTGTATGCTAAATGTATAATTTACAGAAGTCCAGTGCTTACTTATGCCTTATTTAGTTATAATAATTTAATTCCGATTGTTAACAGTTAGTTTTTGTCCTTTTCGATAGAGAAGAAACACCATCATAACTACTTCTTTGTGCTTAGCAACGCATTACGTTGTTTACTGTAACTTCACTTCATTATTATCTTTTTCAATTTTACTCTTATCTGTTCAGTGAAGTACTGTAAGGTCTCTATGTACTATTTTTGCCGCTGACTTTCTGTCAAATATTTTCCCTATATATATATAT